TTCTGTAGATGGCAGATGAGATTCTGCTGAAACGTCGCTACAACTTTAAAAGCACAACTACTATGACATGGGAAAATACCCGAACAAAGCCGAATGCCATACATGTAAGTACCCGCGAAAACTTAAGAAAACACACACACACACACACACACACACATATATATATATATATATATATATATATTTGTTTTCTGAGGTTCTCGCGGGTATTAGTATGTGGATCTTTGGTTATTCGGGTTTTCTCCTGCGTAAGATTGGAAGTATCTAGGCAACGTTTCGATGAAGTCTCATTCATCATCTTCAGGCTTCTGTCTTCGGCTCTGTTCTTGCGGGTATTAGTATGTGGACCTTTGGTTATTCGGGTTTTCTCCCACGTAAGATTGGAAGTATCTAGGCAACGTTTCGATGAAGTCTCATTCATCATCTTCAGGCTTCTGTCTTCGGCTCTGTTTCTCGCGGGTATTAGTAGGTGGATCTTTGGTTATTCGGGTTTTCTCCCGTGTAAGATTGGAAGTATCTAGGCAATGTTTCGATGAAGTCTCATTCATCATCTTCAGGCTTCTGTCTTCGGCTCTGTTCTCGCGGGTATTAGTATGTGGATCTTTGGTTATTCGGGTTTTCTCCCACGTAAGATTGGAAGTATCTAGGCAACGTTTCGATGAAGTCTCATTCATCATCTTCAGGCTTGTGTCTTCGGCTCTTTGCTTCTCAGAGTGATGTGAGCTTGCAGCTGCTTCTTCCTTTTAACTGCTAGTGGGGGTGTGACTTGATTGGGTGGGGGCTTGGCTGTGTTCTGATTGGGTGGGGGGGTGTTCTCATTGGTTGGGGGTTTGGCTGTGTTCTGATTGGTTGAGGGGTTGGCCATGTTCTGATTGGCTGGAGGTGTGTTCTGTTCAGGTGGGGGCTTGGTTGTGCTCAGGTTAGTCTTAGTTGCTGGGGGATTTGAGCTGGTGGGCTGTGATCCTGCTGTTTGGCTTCAAGTTCATGGTCGTGCCGCATCTTCATGGTGGGTGTCAGTTCGCTTCATGTATGGCTCGGAGGGGTTTGAAGTGGGTAGTGATGCAGCTGCAGTGCGGCTTCTGGTCCGTGGTCGTGTCTCATCTTCTGTGTGGGTGTGAGTCTGCTTTCTACATGGAGGTGTGGTGGTGGCATCTTGTGTGGCCCTCGTGGGTGTGGGTCTGGTGTCATTCTTCATGTTAGGTACTCGTCTGTTCATGAGGGCGGGTTTCCAAATGGCTGGTAGGCGGGAGGTGTCATCTCGTTTATTCATGCTGTGTGGGCGTTTTTCTATCTCTATGGCTTCTCTGATTATTCTGTTGTTGAAGTGTTTGATTTTGGTGATAGTTCTGGTATTTTTAAAGTCAATCTCATGTACTGCCAATTCCATGGGGGTGGGGGCATGCCCCCTCAGGCAATTCCCTCACTGAAGAAGTAGCAGAAAAGAGATGTCCAAACCCCAGGCCCTGATTGTGACTCACAAATGATGGTGCCCAGTTGCCTAGTAAGGCAGAATACTGTATGTTGCACTGGTGATCTTATTAATAGGCGTCTCAGGGCACATTGTGCACAGTTTCAAAAATATTAATAGCCTAGATTGCACATTGGCTAACCTCAATTTGGACTCACAAACCTTAGATGCACTAAACTTAGAGTTAAGGCAGGTTCAGGAAGCAGCCCTTGGAAATGGGCTGCCAGTAGTTATTTATTAAGGCATAACCATGTGAAGAGTTTTGGGGCTTGTGCTTGCTTCAGACCTGACTGGAAGCTCACAGAAAGTGACATCAAACATCTGAAAATAATTGGCATAGAAAATTGGATACTGTAAATTTCTTTCCAGAACTTTTTCCCTGGGTGCTTCATGGGTTGAAAGCTCTCCACTTGGGAGCCACTGAAAGGATACTTTTCTGCTCTCTATCAATGGCTTTCCCTTTGCATTAACAGTTTGATCAATTCTTAATCTTTTGCCAGTAAAAATGTGTATGTCACCCACTCTTATTATGGCAAAAAGGGGGGATTTGTGGGAAGTCCCCCCAAAGAATGACATTTGGGGGGAATATGAAAAAGGCAGGATAGAGTATTTCCCCTAAAGGAGAAATGGGGGGGAACCTTAAAGGGAGGCAGCCCAAGTTTCACTGCCCCAAGGGGAAACTGAGGGGGGCAACATTTAGAAATGCAGATTTTGTAATCCATTCAAAAATACTGGGTCAAGACCAGGGGTGAAATTCAATTTTTTTCCCTTACTGGCTCTGTGGGCATGACTGTGGCCGTGGCTTGGTATACTTAGTATAATAGTAATAGCAACCAGGGGTGATTTTTTTTTACGGATTCAAATCATCCCTACCTCCTCTCCCAAGGTGGGCCGAAGTGGTTGATTTTTACCCCTGGTCAAGACAGATAAGCAACAAACAAGAGTGACAAAATTAGTTCAAACACCTTGCATTTCTCCTTTTGCCTATAGAGCCAGCCATGACCCCTACATGGCCCCATCAGAAAGAAGGTATAAAAACCCACCCACTCTAAACTCCATTTTGTCAGCTGCACCAGAACCACAAACCCTGGCAGTTTTGTTCATCAATAAATGGACCCTCTTTCCACTCAGATTCTAGTCTCCATTTAATTTCCAGCACCTTTCTCCTAGCTTGAACCAGATGGATTTTCCTTCCAACAGTAGGAAGTGTAAGTCAGCAAATCCAGGTCAATTTCCAGAGGAAATTGGCTTCTGTGAGAACTTTATGCTGGACTACGGAGCCCTCAGTCTATGCAGCATATTTTACCTTTTTAAAGTTTGTTAGTCCTTACACTCTATAGTATACTCTAAACTTTGTTTTGATTACTGAAACATTTTTAATACAAGATGAATTAGAAGCGTCAATGGTACAGAATGTAATTTATTTCCCAGTTAGCGCGCACAAGCTCGCGACGAACGTGTCACATGTGGTCTTTCTACTCCCTTTGTGACCGTTTATCTTTGCATCAAAGCAAATCCAAGAAAAGAAGACCACCCAGCATTCAGCACGGAATGCTTGAAATCAGCACAGTTCCACAGCAGCACACCCACGCTTCAAAACGGGAAATAAAATGGAGGCAGAAAAGAGGGCGGAGAAAAAAGGAGAGATGCGCCCTTTTAGCTCTGTAGCGCGCGCGAGGTTTAGTTCACGCCTCCTCTCTCCGCTCTGATAGGAGGAGAAGGCTATCGCCGTATCACGTGGACGACTGATCTCACTTTCTCCTTCGTGCCACCCTTCCCCCCACGCTGCAGTTAGAACCGAACGGAGTCGTCTGTGTCGCCGCTTCTGCTGTTGCCGAACGGCTGATCGACGAAACGCTTTGCGTGGAGATACTACCGGTCACCCTCGACGGGCCTTGCCCGGTCGGTAAGTAGACGACTGCCTAGGGTAGGAAGGCAGCGCTAAATCCGAGGATTTCCTCAGGGGAACAGGTTGGTTGGTCGGACCGGGCGTGAAACGCGGTCAATGGGATGGTGTAGCGGATGGATGGATTGATCTATGGGTCGCGGAAAACGGCCTCCCTCTCTGGCTCGGCGCTCGCGCGCGCTCTCCATTGTGTGGAGGAAACAAAATGGCGGCGAATGGGCCAGCAGACAAGGGGTGGTGAGCGAGCGGGAGAGGATAGTAATGGCGCGTGAACGACTTAACGGGAAGCGGGAAATATTTGGAACTGGGCGCGCTTATTTGCTTTTCCAGAACTTGAATCGGTGTTGGAGTGGAATTTCACAATGACGCTTTTGCTTTTCCTGGTTACCGCAGCCTCCCCTCCCCCCGGACATCTTTCTCCGGGGTGCTGCTTTTGCCCTCGAGTTTCTCTTGAAGGAAAAGAGTGGTTTAGACTTGGTTTAGGTATCTGGAAAGAGTGGGACTCTTTTCAGATACCCAATGACTTAATCGGCCCTCCAATTTCGTATGGTTGCTCTTCTGAGGTTTGTTGCTTCTCGCCTTCCCCGCAAACCTTTCTGTGGAGAGTACGCGGTATTTTCTCGGGTCCATATCCCGTAAAGATCCCGTGTGTGTGTGTGCCTTTTGCCACCCTCCTTGTGGGAAGCCACCTTTAAAGACTTAAGGCTCCAAGCGCGTGGTGAAAAATTGGGGCATGAACTAGGCCCTGACGGATGTATAACGGCTGGCAGGAATAATCTTTTCAGATCGGAAGATTTTGCCAGTAACCCCAGCTCCCGCGTGGAGCAACGACAGGGCTGGAATTTCCTCTTTCATAATGTTTGCTGATAATTATCAATGGAATGATCAGGCAGATTGTTTCGGGCTTATTAAAATATAGTGTGAGATTTGGTATTTTCTCAGCGTTCCTCTTTTGTATTAACCATGACCAGATTTTTCAGTTTACAATTAGTATACTCCAGAGTATCAAAAGTTGAGACTTAATGGAGGATATAGTGATTATGTTTGATCTTCATACATTCAGTGTGTTTTGTTGAAGTAAGTATATATTGAATTGTATAATAGAAATTCAACCATTGTTTGGGGATGCAATCCTTATTAGTAAACTCCATATGTTAGAAACCACTCTATTTTTAGGTTGATGTGCATGATGTGCAGTCATATCTTTAAGGAATATAAATGTTTGATTCTCTACCAAATCTTGTTCAATGAAGATGGTGTGTTTTTTTTAATTAATTTCAGAGTACCTGAACACAGTGCTAGTACAGCATAGAAGAAACATTTTATTTGGAGAAAATTCATCAAGAATCTGAAGCAAAATGGTAAGAATTTGCCATTCATAAATGAAATGAAATGCCATGTATTTTTGTTTTACTTATTTTATGTTTTAAATTTCAGCGACCAATGCGCATTTTTGTAAATGATGACCGCCATGTCATGGCAAAGCATTCTGCGGTTTATCCAACTCAAGAAGAGCTGACAGCAGTTCAAAACATGGTTTCTCACACTGAACGTGCTCTCAAAGCTGTTTCTGACTGGATTAATGAGCAGGAGAAAGGTAATAATGAGCAGCCAGAACCTGACACCATGGAGACTGTAGCTGAAGAAGAAAACAAAGAAGGAAGGTATGTAACTTTATTCATAACTTGCTATTAGAGAGGTTGACAAGTTTCTGAAAACTTGTGCTTGAGATACCTTGAAATAATTTTATTATTAACAATTTTATTGAACATTACAAATTAAAATGATAAGGACTAATAACAAAAGACTAAAAAGTGCAGAAAAGAAAAATATAAAGAAAAATATTAAAAAGTTGACTTTCTTCATAACGAGTATAAACAATTTTAATGGCTGATCAACTTCATTTAAAATACAGCAAATGATTTATTTCCATATTTCATCTCATGTCTAGAAATAAATCATTAAGGCCTTGTCATTCCATTCTAGTTTAGCTAATCTTTAATCACCTCAAATGATGTCCTAGAACTTGATTTCTTATTTTTTCTTTGTCCTTCCTCAAAAAAATCTTCCAAACCTTAAAAAGTCTCGTATAAAATTACTGAGGTCTTTTTTTGCTTTGTTAAGACATCAGCTAGTTTCATATGAATATACCATGTATCTCCTTCCACATTCCCATAGCCCATCAGTTTTAGATCCACTTTCAAATCACTCCTATTTGGTAAGTTTTGTTCCATATCTTCATTATTGGCAGACACTTTTAAAATTAAAATCCCTTGTTCATAAATATCCTTCAATACATCCAATATTTTGTTCCATTTTGTGCTTATCTCCTTTAATATATTCAGTACCGTTGCTAGCCTAAATGCAGGACCTTATGTTTCTCATCACTTAACTGCATCTTACTGAATAGGGCTCAATGCTCAAATCTGTTAAGATATTTCTGAATCTAGAATCTGTTCAAAGTGTTAGCAATTCCCCCAGCTTGGTGTCATCTGCAAATGTTTCCCAACCCCTTGGCTGCAGATTGATACCAATTCATGGTCTGTCAGGAACAGGGCCACACAAGTGACAGGCAAATGAAACTTCATCTGCACATGTGCAGGTTGCATGGAAAACCATCCCCGCCCCGGTCCATGGAAAAATTGTCTTTCATGAAACCGGACCCTTATGCCAAAAAAGTTAGGGACCGCTGGTCTAGATGATTTATGAAGCTGTTGAAGATTACTGGGCCTAAGAATCTTCAGGTATGCTTCCCTCTGTGTGGATATAGCTTCATTAAGAACTAGATGCTGGGTGTGGTTGGTCAGCCAATTCTAAATCCATCTGGTCCATCTGGTACTGTCCGTCCCAATTTTTCTAATTTAGCAAGAAGTAAATTGTGGTCTATTTTGTCAAAAGTCTTACTGAAGTCCAAGTACCGTATTTTTTGGAGTATAAGATGCTCCGAAGTATAAGATGCACCTAGCTTTTGGGGACGAAAACAAGAAAAAAAATTTTTGCCTTTGCCTCCTTGAAGCAAACAGCCTGATCAGCTTCAGCACAGCCTGATTAGCACAAGCAGCTGATTGGCAGTTGGATCAGCCTCCCAGTGATCAGCTATTTCAGGCTACAGGGATTTCCATCGCTTCTGTGCAGCCTCTGTGCCTTCATTTTCGGCCTGTTCTGGGTGGCGAGCATCAGAATGTTATTCCAAAAATGTTATTCCTCATAGAATTGGGTTTTCTTGCATTTCTTGGTCTATCACACAGGTTTCTTCGAGGTTTTAACAAGACTATTTTGAGGAATCTAATAATATTTTCCAGGTCTAAAATCTAATAAATATTTCCCTGTTGGTTTATTATTTGTATTTTTTTACTTTTTAAAACTTAAAGTTTCTTTTGTATATCCAGTAAAGCATCTTTTTCTGAATTGTTCTTTTGGCCTGTCATTTTATAGTTCCACTTTTGGTACTTTACTTTACCAGATAGTCATTCCTTCATAAACATCTTTTGGACATAGTTGGTACTTCCTTAATTTTTAAAATATTACATAATATTTTTGCCATTTTATAAGTCAAAATATTAATTGACCACACTTGTATTCTTCCTGCTTTAAAATCTTTAGTATCTTGCAGTAAGCAGATAATAAATCTGTTTCCCAAGAAAAGCTTAACTTTTATAGTTAATTCCAAAATGTTAGTGTAAAAGTCAATATTCCAAATTCACCTGGACTCTTTATTGGATTAAAATATTATTTAACTTTTAGGTGTTTATTTTAAATTTTTAAGCTTGTAATTTTTTAAAATTCAGAGTTATTTGCACTCCACCAACGGAGACTTTTCCAACATACTTCTTTATTCGATTTTTATAGCTTTATTGTCCTGAAGGGCATTAATAGCTTTAAGATGGTGAGTAAACAATTAATAAAAAGTGATTGGAAAGTGGGATTTAGAAACTTAGTGAGTGTCCTTTAAAATGCTCTGCTAGTTTAGTTTAGTTTACTTTATTATTGCACCTCGTCCAATGAAATCAAGCACCAATTTCAGTGCACATCATGACTATGACCATGAAAATAAACACAAACACATCCTTCCGCCTCCACACATTGAACCAAAATACCCCGACACCGCACCAATACTGCACTATACAGCAGAATTCAAAAGAGCTACTGCCCTGGGATAGAAGCTGGTTTTCAGCCTATTTGTCCTTGTTTTTATTCTTCTGTACCGTCTGCCAGATGGTAATAGTTAAAAAAAGGGGTTCCCAGGATGAGATGGATCTTTGGGAATGTTTTGAACTTCCTTAAGGCAGCTGGAGCTATAAAGCTCTTCCAAAGAGGGGAGAGGGCAACCAATGATCCTCTGGGCAATGATGTTAACCCTCTGGAGTGCTTTCCTATCTGCCACTGTGCAATTGGCAAACCATACAGAGGTGCAGCAAGTTAAAATGCTCTCTATGGTGCAGCGGTAGAAGGTCACCAGCAGTTTTCCATTCAGTAGTTTTCTGAGAAGTCTCAGGTAGTATGATCTCTGCTGGGCTCTTTTGACTAGTGTTGCAATGTGAGCACCCCAGGTCAGGCCCTCTTGTATGGTAACACCCAGAAACTTAAAACTGGCCACTTGCTCCACCCGGTCTCCATTGATAAGCAAGGGCTGGATGTCTGATCTTTTCCTTCTATAATCCACTGTTAGCTCCTTGGTCTTATTGGTGTTGAGGACCAAGTTATTGTCTCCACACCACGAAAGCAACTTCATCTCGGTAGGCAGGCTCATCCCCCCTCGGAGATGAGTCCCACCACTGTTGTATCATCTGCAAATTTAGCAATAGAATTACTAGCGTGAGTGGGGGTGCAGTCATGCACATAAAGAGTATAGAGTAAAGGACTCAACATGCAACCCTGTGGTGTACCAGTGTTAAGAATAAGGGCTGAAGAGGTATGATTACCTAATCTGACCCTCTGGCCAGACAGGAAATCCCTAATCCAAAGGCAGATTGAATTAGAAAGTCCAAGGTCTTTAGACACTAATCTATGTGGAAGAATTGTGTTAAACGCAGAACTAAAATCCGCAAAAAGCATCCTCATAGTCCCCCCCCTCCCGCTGTTCTAGATGATCTAGATCTAGGGTTGTGAGCTAGATGGTTGATTGCATCATGTCCTAGCATTCAAATGTGCAAAACCTGTCTTGCGGGCTCATGACTAGCCATCCAGAGCACATGGGTAATCTTCTTTCTTTCTTATGTAGAGACGGTCCTTGGTCATTGCCATCGTCTTTGGTTCCACTTTCATAGAGCCCTTTTTAGTTTGCTGTACCTCCCCCAGAAATCCAGAATTGGCTGCACAATCACAGGGATACTTCAGCTCCTCTCACCTGCCTGTCTCCACTTCTGCCCTTTTGGGCTGTGCTTGGCCTGCTGCCCTGCCAACTCCAGTTGAGTTTTACCATCTTTTGCTGCTGATCAGGTGCATCTGGCCTGGCTCATTGTACTGCTGACTGATCTTCCTGAGTCCATGTGTAGTCTTGTTCAAATTGTACGTGGCTTTTTCATAAGGTTCTAAAGCTTTGTCAGAAAGCAACCTGTGTAAGGAACTGCCTCAGTTAGTCCCTCAGGAAAGCAAGATTCTTAATCCATTAAGTTGAATCAAAAGAATTTTTACTGAGAAGTGATTGCCATAAGGTGAAATTTGAAAAGCTCGTGCAAAGCAAACGGCTTTCTTTCAGTTCCCCAAGCCCACCCCAGACCACCAGCAGCTGATGCTGAAAGGTTGTTTTGAGAATCTCTAAGGTACTAGGAGATAATAGTTCAACCTCAGGGCAATATGGCCGTGGAGTCAGGCTGAAACCAGCTGGGAGAGAGTCTGCCCTGTCTCCAAAGATTCCTTCCTCACTAATTCACAAGCAAAAAGCAAGCTAATAATGCCCGTAAGCCCTCCCCCCCCCCAATTTCCAGCAGAATGGCAGGGCATGATGGTTGGCCAGCAGCTGCCTTGTTGAGTCACACTGGGTCATGTCTTCAGCAATGGAATGGAGATAGCATAGGTCAGCTGGGAGCAGCATAGCCAATAGAGCCCAGCTCTGGAAGATGCAGGGGAGTGCAGGGTGGCTAAAAAGATATAGATGAATAAATGATGGGAGTTTAAAGGGGAGACAGTCCCTTATCTTACCGGACTTGGGAGGGATGAAGCCAGGAATGACTTGTATGTATGGGTCCTTGCCTAATGGCTGGACATCATTGATAAATGACATTTATTTATTTATATCCTTTCATTATTGTATAAGTAACTCAAGGTGATGAACATACTTAATATTCCTCCAACAACAACAATCCTGTGAGTTAAATGACTGACTCAAAGTCACTCAGCTGGCTTACATGACAGATGAGATTAGAACTCACTGTCTTCTGGTTTCTAGCCTGATGGCTTAACCACATATAGGCTATACATCAATGGGAAGTGCCAGAATTGCTGTTGGTAAGTGATGCAGTCATACGATGTGACACTTTACAGTTGCATTACATCGCAACAAAAATTCTGGTCTAATTACTGTTAACTACCTATATATGGCTTTTCTCTCAGCTTTTTATTTGATCTATAGATGGCATGCATTTTGCAATGGAAGTGAATCATTGAAGTACATCCAGTATCGCAAAAGCATTTCCCTTTAATCTCACCCAACATGTCTTTTATT